GGAACCAATTTGGTGGCACTACAGCGCTGAATCTACAGCTTTTTTTGTGCTTATTCCTGCACAAAAAGATAGGATTAAATAGGATTTTATAATAATAAATAAATTTTAAAATATATAATTTTTTCTCTTATCACATAACATCAATTTTATTACATATGTTTGTATTTGAGTGTAAATGCTTTTGTATTAAATAAATAAAATCCAAACTAAAAAAATTAATGCCATATCTGATGAAGCTATATTAATAGGTTATTCTTCTACATGAAAATCATTTATGATGTTTAGCAAGAAAAGTCTAATTGTTAAGTGTTTTACATACATAGTATTTGATGTGTGATCTATTAAAAAACAAAATAAAATAAAGAAATAGATGCAAACATGAATAAAAGTTCGTAAAACTCATATTTAAAAGAGAAAGATAAGGGTGTTCTACCTGAGAAGCTATTACGTGCAAACTCCAAACAAGGAGAACCGTCCAGATTTACTGAGGATTTTTTGAGTATTTGTAAATGTCATCAAATACTCACTAAATACATAGCAAATGAGCAAGTACTAAGTAAATATTCAACAAATAAGCAAGTACTAAGTAAATATTCAACAAATAAGCATAAACTTCATATGTATACTCAATAAATACTGACAACTAAATATTTGTTGAGTATTTAGCAAATACTCAATAAATATTCAACAAATTCGAATGATTTTCCTATTCGGACTCTGCACATAATAATTTCTCGTTTTATATAATAAATTCTGATAAATGTCATCCTAAAGGACAAATCATACAAAAATTCTTTTTTTAGCATAAGAATTAGGAGTGTCATTAGAAATAAAATTAAGCATATTTTGTTAATATGTTATGAGATCATAATTTTTAATTTGCTTAATTTATTGAAAAAAATATATGTGCAATTAGTGCACATATATTTTCAATTGTGTTAATATTTAGTTAATTTATTCTTATTGCAAATTAATTATATAATTTTTATTGTTTGCTTCATTGAGAGCACTCAAAATTAAATAAAATGTTTAATCTACAATTCTTAAAGAAAATAAAAAAAGAAATAAAATTAGTCTTTTTTTTATCTTTGGTGTTTAATACGCTAATGTGATTACTGTAACTCGATGGCCTGTCACCAGCAAACGGAGAAATAGCAATCCTCCCCTCTCATCAGAGGAAACCCTAAACCCTCTCTAGCCATGGCCAACGAATCAAACTCAGTTCAGCGGCCGACATCCGATGATTCCGTTTCTGACCCAGTTGACGCGTTGCTCGAGGTGCCTTCCTTTTGTTGCTGCTTTTCCTTTTCTTGTTAGCATTTCTCTTGGTCTTTGTTTGATCTCAGCTTGTTTCTTTATTTTGATTTTTCTCGACTTTTTCGATGCTGATTTTTAAATATGAATTACAGTGGAATCCACGAATTTGGTTATTAGATATGGATAGATCGTGGCAGAATTCAAATTGAAAGGAGAAAAAAAAAGTTTCGAAAGATTAATGGTGGAGTTAATCATGTGCTGGATTCCCTTTTTTTAATATTTATTTCTTTTTGCTAAGTTAGAAAACACTTTTAACAATCTTTTATGGTGTTCTTTCTTGAAATATATTTTGATTTCTAAAAGTTAAAATTTGATTTTGATTTTGATTTTATTGTAATAGATTCTGAGTGAAGATGAATCAGAATTTTAAATTTGAGTTAGTCTAATTAAATTTTTAATTATTCCATGTATTGCATGGTGTTACTTTCTTGTTGCTTTGGCATTCCTCTCCTTGTTCTATGCGGGTATGTGTTTATTTTTCCCAAATGTAACGTTCATACTGAAATTCACTGAAGAGTACTAATAACTGCTTATCATTGGATCGTAGTCGGCATGGAAAACTACTGATCACTGTCATGCATCATTTACCATGTAAAATCTCTGTTCTGAAGCAGATCTTCATTCTATTGCAGATACTATTGTGATGGAAATTAAGAAATAAACCAGAGGTGTTACTTGGATGGTTTGGTGTGGCAGGATGAACTTGGCTTTGTTTGGTTAAATCTGAAGTGTTGGATGATCTTTATATTTTATTATCATACCATCCGTTCATCATACCATTAAAAGAGAAGCATAATACTAAGTTAAGTGTTGTAGAGATGATGATGCTTAGGTGGATGAGTGGTTTTACCATTAGAGATAGGATACAAAATGAGCATATATGTGAAAAGCTAACGGCTCGCCTCAATGTAATTCCAATGAAAAATGCCTTGTGACTTACACTTCAAGTTTTTTTTTATGAGGCTTGCGCCTCAGGTTGGTTGAGGCCCGCCTCGTCTCGGTGGCGTGAGGCTGACGCCTCACCCAATTTATAGATTTTTTTATTTAAAACTTACATAAATACTATAATAAAGCCCCGAACAAATCACACATTCATGCACCCCCAAGTCGCAACAACTTCTTCTCGACTGCCTCAGCCTCCAGCCCGTCGCCTTTGTCACAGCCACTAACGTTGCAGCTCCATTAAGGATCGCTTGAAAGCAACACACCACCACCACCATCTTCTCCTCTAAAGTTTTGGAGTATTAATCTCATCTTTATGTTGATGAAAAGAATTTATGAAAGAGGAAGATAACTGAAATAAATGAAGAAGTATATTTGAAAATATTGGACTCCATAGGATGAGACAAGGGAGAGTAATTTGTTATAATGACGACTCAAATAAATGATTTTCTAGTCGTATTCAATATTTTCTACCCTTTTAGAAATTAAATATGAATGAGTCTGAGACTGAGAAAGAAAGAATTTGTAGTTGAACTTAATGTTATATGATACTTTTATGCAGTTTCTATATTTAAAATGTTTTTCTTATGTAATATTTATATTTCAATTATATTTCATGCAATTTATCACTTGCCACTTTAGGTCACATGCAATTTTTTTATTTCATATGTATATCAATTTGCTATTTCATCATTCATTAAAAAAGATAGTATGTCATATTTTAGCATATTATTTGGTATTATATAAAAAATCACTTTTAACCTTTATTCGCACTTTTCGTAATTTTTTTATTTTGAGGCTCACGCCTCAAAACGCTTTGAGGCTTACGCCTAGCCTCAAGAACAAAAGACGCCTCAATATCCAATTGTGCAATTTTAAACATTTAGTACAGGAAAAATTAAATTTATCATATCACACATTGGCTTATGTAATATTCTCCTTTTTGAGCAACAATACTTGAATAAGCCAAGGAACCATGCTAAAATATGTATTTGTTAAATATTATTATTTAAACTTGTAGCTTATATTGCATAACATAAAGTTTAAATTATACGAGTCAATGTAATTTTATGATCTTTGCTATAAATTTGGTTCTAGTCTTAAGTGGGTAGCCAACAACCACTTGAACTGTTAAGAGGAAAAGATGCTGCGATAATAATTGTTGCCATAGAATTATTATGAGTAAAAGCTCAAAATAGTCCATAACTATTGATAAATATCCAATTTAATCCCAGAGTTTATCTTGGCTTATTTAGTCTCTCAACTATTACCTAAAATAAGAGTTAACTTCAAAGTTAAATATGAATGATATTTTAGGTATTACAAGAGAATATAAGATTACATTGCTCTATTACAACAGCAACAAAATCAAGCCTTTATCCCACTAATTGGGGCTGACTACATGAATCCTTTTTCTCTATTGTGTCTGATTAAGAGTCAAATTCTCATTTAGATCTAATAAAGAA